GCACTTGTTACTAGAAGCGATGCACTTGTTCCTAATAGCTTCTTGTTTCTAATAGCGTCCATTCGGTTGTTGGATGTTGTCGTCTCACATCGACTCGCCCAGTCTTCATGACGCGAGTCGATGCGAGTCGTATAGTAGTACGATGCTGTACAGTAGACGAGTTGCTCTTGAAATACCGCCGGTCACACAAACATATCCATACCTTGCAAATACGTCCACCTGTCCGTTCGGGAAGAACCCGCCTCGTTCACCATGTTGAGAAGGCTGTTGCTGCTCATCAAGCTCACACGGCTTTCTGGGGGGCGGCAAAGCGGGAACATCAGTCCGTTCGGCCTTGCTCCACTGTGTTCAAGCGTCTACTGACTTCCACTGTAGGGCTGTACGTACTTCTAAAGCCAGGTGCTGAACATGACCTCCAACCTCCTCGTACTTCCAAAGCCTAAAGCCCGCTAAATGCCCAAGATAACACAACAATACACACCAGAACCCTGCAAAAGCTGTGCAGTCCTGCTTTCTTTTTGGAGCCTGTGGAGCCTCTAGAGCCTCCGCTGCCTCAAGCATTGGCAGCTTTGGGACTACTAATGGTACCATGATGGATGACGATTTAGAGAATTTGATTGCTTGACTTTGATTTGGATGATACCAATGAGTGTAGGTGACCTTCAAATCAAAATTGTGCTTCGCTCGGGCTCCGCAATCTGGGCAGCAGTGCTGCACTAGTGCTATGCATTTCTTGACCCGTCTGAGCAGGAAAAGCGACAGGTTGAGAGCATGGCTTGGACTGCCCTCTGCGTCTAATGGCCACCACTTCTGTGGAGGTTCTACCTGACAGAGGGCCACGTCGTGAGTACGCAAGTGGAAACACCAGAAGATGGGACTGCCCACATCAGTAGCAAGTGCATCGCTACTAGTAACAAAGGCATCGCTACTAGTAGCGATGCGACCAGACAAAGGATGTTGATCATCACTAGTGACTTAGTGAAGTCACAGCTGCAAAGTCCATCGAACCCCTGCCTGTTGGCCTCTGAGGCTATTTTCCCTCTCTTCCAGCTCCAAGACCCCTTCCAACGGTGAGGTGTAGTGCTTCATGGACAGCCTCAGATGAACTCGGGCCACGCTGATGTTACTGCATACCTGCAAAGGAGAACTGCAACAGGGACAGTAAAAACTAAAGACCTTTGCCAAACCTTGGAAAAAAAATGATCAAGATATTACGCTGACATCATGACATATCTTCTCAAATATCGTAGGGCTACCCAATCATCCGTCATCAATTGCCATCCTGGTGGCTTCTCCGCTGCAGAAGCCGAGCGATAGTTGGGATGAGGCCGATCTCTGGTCTTGATGTCCTGGTGTCGGCGGATCCGTGACGACACGTCACCATGCTCCATGTGTCCGAGTCGGTGGTGCTTTCTTGTGACCGACTTGGAGAGCGAACTGGAGCAAGCTCCTGTCTCAACCAGCAGTCCACACTGATCAGCTCTTTATCCATGCTTGATTACTAACCACCCTACTAGTTATGGCCTCCATCCTAATAAGAATGGCCTCCACCCTACTAGTGATGGCCTCCAACCTATTAGGAATGGCCTCCACCGCCCTATTGACTTGAAAATATTCAAAGACTATTCAAAGACTTCTCTTCTGCCCCGAAGAACCCTGTGACGCTGCAGTCCACGTATGATTCCAAACGATTCACTGGGACCCATCGGTATCTGACCATCTCATGTGCGCATCCGGTTCGGTCCAGGTTCGAGCTCAACACACCTCAGAACGCTCTGGGTCACTCGTGACTCGTAATGGAATGGCGTGTTGATCAAATGGCCATGGCGTGGACAGAATCTTCTGCTGCCAAAGGTACGTCGACCATCACCCTCGGAAGGAGAACAAAGGCCTTGGTACACATGCATGGCTTGAGGACACGCCAGGACTTTCAATCACCGTAAGAAGTTTTAAGAAGTGTGGAGCTACCTGATTATGCGTGAATCACATCTGGAGTTTGTTGCTAAATGACATCAATTTATGACTACATAGTTGTCATAGTTATGCATCAGGGACATGGAATGATTCTCAAGCAGCCACATTGACTGCTATGACTGAGTACCTGTTTTCGAAAACTTTCTATCCAAGATCCAAAGTCACAAGGACAATCGTTCATTCAGGACAACATGAATGAATGACGGTCCGAGCTCGTGGCCAGAACCAAAGTCCTCGAAGCCAGCGAAGCACCATAAGTCCAAGGCTGGATCAGTGCAATTTACTTTAATAATTAGTCAGGAAGAATACACATGAGGCGATGGCCTCCAACCTACTAGTGATGGCCTCCAACCTAGAAGCGATGGCCTCCAACCTAGAAGCAATGGCCTGCAGAAAGCGATTGCCTCCAAACTACTAGCGATGGCCTCCAACCTAGAAGCAATGGCTTCCAGCAAAAAAAATAAAGGGTTTGTATTTTTGTTGACGTTCCATGTTTGACTATGGGGTATGCTTTAGAGGTGTGCTTCAGGGGTTTGCTTCGCTTAGGTCAACACAGCAGCCCTACATAAACTGGACACTTAAAATTTATCCCGGCAAGAGGCAAGAGACCTCAAACAGTGTGTGTGAAGTCTAGAGGTGTGTAGCAGCAGAAAGTCTAGAGATCTAGATGCATTGGGGTCCAGAGAGGTGATGGTGGTGATGAAGGTGGAGATGGTGGTGGTGGTGGTGGTGGTGGTGGTGGGTGTTGATGCGTGGTAGTGATGGTGGTGGGTGGGGGTCCACAAAGCACCGCGCCTGCCACGAAATCTGCACTTCTTCACTTCAAGGTCCACAAAGTAGGCCACGAAGTCTGCCACGAAGTCTGCACTTCAAGGTCCGCAAAGTACTGCACCTGCCACGACTTCTGAAAATGAGCCACATGTCCGAAGGTCACGACTCACTGCACCTGTCACGAAATCAGAGCACGTCGAGGATTACCACTGTGTCCAAAGTGCTGCACCTGCCACGAAATCTACACATCGAAGTAAAACCGCTCCGATCCCTTGCACCTGTCACGAAAAGTCGACTTGGGACCACCAAAGCACGAGGTTTCCCTTGCACCTGCCACGAAAAGTGACCACCATACCCGAAAATGCGCACGGCACCACAACGAGAGCGCAGTCGCGACAAGCACCCGCTCCAGCCACCTAGATTTTGCGAGCCTGCGCCGTCAAAATGCACTTCGAGGATTTCGAGAGACAAGAATGTACTGCACATAGCAACGAATTAGCCGGACGCCCTGATGCAACACCTCGATTCAACACCGGCCCTTAACTCTTACCGTAAGAACCCCTACGTAGTATTACCACACTGTTTGGGGAAAAAGAACATGACAAAACTAATCCATATTTCATGTTTTTTGTCTTGCTGTCGTTTGGCTCTGAACTCCTACGCAGTAATGCAGCACACAAGCTCAAAAGGATCAAACAACAAGAACTATAGCCCAAGACGGACGTGTCTTCTCAAGGCGCTACCATGTCTCAAATTTTGGAAACTTGTTGGTTGACGTTCCTCGAACTTCAGGAATTAGGACACCTGACACCCTTCAATCAGCCTCATTCACATCACCTGTCGACTTCGCCCAGCCCGCCCACTCCGCTCAGCCCGGGTCCTCAGAGTCCACCTCACTCTGTCCAAAGAGATAGGTGGACGCGGAAAGCCCCGACTGAATGGTCAGCGTGCCGCCTGGGAGACTCGGGGAGACGAAAAGATGGGCTCAGGGGAGACGAGTCTAGATAGGACAAAAAGAGGAGACTCAGATTTGTGGCGCAAAAGACCTGCTTCCATCTCAAAGCGCAAAAGACCTGCGTGATAGAAATTGGAGCAAACAGCGAGATACGTGACAATCTGACTCCAGTGGGGACCTATAACTACAGCAGGCATAGCGGAGCATAATCAGCGGTTCTGTTTGACATCCATTGCAGGCACAAGAGTGCGTCATCTCACCATGAGGGGCCACTTGGGATGATCATTGGTGGCTCAAAAATGTGCCTAGTAGCCGAAAAGGATGGCCATGGCATGCCATGTCCGACCGATATTTGCAATCCAATGTTGTCTGATCTTTCGAAATATCAGATCGAAATAACTCGAAATATATCAGGTCCATAGATGGTCATGAGTCATGACAAATCAGCCTTCCCGTTGTTGGATGTTTCACTGAGTTGACCCGAGTGTCTGAGGTTGGCACTGTAGTTGGCCTCAGGGAGAGTAAATGTGACGGGGGGTGGTCCTTCAAAAGATGTCAAACGATTTAAAAGGAGATGTTGGGTGTGCAAATGCCCAGCTCATGATCAGCAAATCCACCCACGATCAATGGACAAAGAAAACCACAAGGCCTTGTCTGCTTTTGACTGGTTTCATCATTAACTCATTCTGGAGTCGACTGTTCTGCCAAGACCGCTGCTGCTAAAGGAGTGGAGCTGTATGGCGTGCTGTCACCCAGCGGAGTCTGTGGAATGGCGCCCAACAACTTCTCGATTTTCTGCATCGAGAAGGGGCCAGACCTGAAAATCGAGCAGAAAAACAAACTAGGAACAAAGGGCATCGCTACTAGGAGCAAGGACTACTAGTAGCTCCTGGCCTTACTACTATATAGTAACAAGAAGCTACGAACGGAGCAAAGGGCATACCTCCAAACAGCTCTGCTGGTGAAACATCCAGAATGAGATCGACGCGTCGGGACCGGTTTTCAGGTCTATGGTAAGCCCTTGCTTGATTTGTCGAAGCGAACATGATGCTGGCCAGGGAGGCAGTCGGAACACCCTCGGAACAGGATAGGAAACGGCAGTTTAGAAGAGGCAACGCACCAATCTTAATGATACCAACAAATTAGAGCCCTAAAAGATCCTAAAAGTCTGCACATGCCATCCACCCCGCTTGCGTAGTATGCTGAGTGCATAGATCGTGGCAAATCATTCAGTCAAGGCTTCAGTCATCGTATGCTTCTGTTTCGGAAATGTCCTTTCAACATTCACAAGGCAGTGAGTCGTGACCCACCAGGACCCAAAGAATCCCAAAGACCCCAAACCTGCAAGACTTTCCCAACTGAAAAGCTGGTCATGGTCGTCGTCCAAACTGTTCCTCCAGAGGGGGAGAAGGATTTCGGGGGTTCCTGCTCCTGTATCGCTTTGTGCTTCGTGTCTTCATGTGCATCTGTAGCCACTGCTACAAGCGCTCTGACTGCCAGGCTGCTCTACCAAGGCATTCAGCCGCTTCACAAGCTTGGTACTCTTAGAACCTTGGAGGAAGGTCGGAGAGGAACAACCCAAGGGAAGCCACAAGAAAACTGCTGTGAAATACAATGCGTACCAGTGTAAAGGGAAGAGCAAGGTCAGCTCCAACGGCGGTGTGACTTGTTGAGGCGATCAGGTGTGCTGAATCCATCAAGTGTGCTCACAGCATGGAAGAAGTGGCTGGTCAAAAGCACCTTGAGCTGAGCGTAGACACCAAGGCAAGGCCGTATTTGCAGCCAGATTTGAGATCATGACTACCACCAGCGCCACCATCGCAGGTGCATTAATAAGCCGAGAAACTTTTCTTTGATCTGGTGGTGATGTTCATGGTCTCACATTGCCAGCCAGTCATAGCCTGGAGAGCCATCTCTTTTTCCCAAACCAAGTTCAAAGCCCTCAACTGTTGGACAGCTCTGGTCTTCTCAGGAACCATGGCAACCCGACCCTCGAGCCCAGCGACGGGCTGAACACGTCGAAATGAACTGCGGGCCTTCTGAGTGAGCTTGGCCACGTGGGACTGCTCGTCGCTGCGAGTGGTAGAGTCTACGGGCATGGCCTTGGATCGCGGGTCACCTGGTGCCCATCACACACACCAAGGTCCAGAATTCGCACGTGGGCAGCATTTAAAGCTTGTCCTAGGAAGCATTTCCCAAGTATGAAGACCAGTCCAGTCAGGACCTGACCTGATATATATACCCCCCGCCCAAAAACCGCCCGCATCATTCAGCTTCAGTGGAGTGACCCATTTGTCAGCTTGCAGCTCCTGAAGAGATTCCATCTCCTGAGGTGTGTGGCGAGAAGCGACCTGGAGCGACCCGTGGTGCACCGTCTCCGCCACTAGACATGTTTTGGCATGTTTTCGTACCAAAAATGACTTTGAGAAAGAGTGCAGTCTTCGGGAGCACATGAGACCACTGTCCAAAAGTGCGTTGCTCCGACATCGTCATTGAATTCGTGTCCAGCGCATTGGTCCACTCTCCTCCAAAGCTTCCTCCACACTCTGGAGCCGATCCTCGCCGTCGGCTTGGGAATTCAATGCCTAACCGAACCTCTGGATGTATGAACTGGAGGAAGGTTGTTTACCAAGTGAGCCTTAGTCATGACCTCAGGATTCAGATGAAGAATGAGAACAATGGACAGGAACAACGTGGCGGTAGCGATGATCCATTCCCACTAACACCACCAGCGAGTAGCGGTCCTGAAAGTGACTAAATTCGTCTCTACCTGTGGCACGAGTAGTGCAATTGCTGCATGACTCAGCAAGAAGTGCAATGTTCTGCCTTCATTCTACACATGTTTCATGGATGACAATGATCTGATGAATGTGGGAATGACATAGAATGACCTGGAATTGAAGAGTGCTTCCGGATACTTTTGGGTGCGACAACTGCTTGAACTGCCACCCTCCCAACTGGGGAAGTAAAACTCCCGCCAGTGGTGTCCGCACCTGAAACCATCTCTTCCTCCTGGCCGAAAGAAGGCCCACTCCACGCATGGCCCATCCATGTTCAACCCGCGGGCGAGGTGATCTTCTGCTCGGTGATTGAAAAAGTGAGCGAGGTTTGGAGGACTCCATGTCGACATGCCCATGAATTCCCATGCCTCTCAGGAAAAAGACATCTTGAGATAATCCATTGCATCCTCGCGAACAATTGCTTGAGCTAGTCCTCTGATAAACACATATAAACACCTGGTGCTCAAATGTGTTAAAAGCTTAGGGAACATATGATGTTTGAACATGAATGGCATAAACCCTTAAGCATACCTTGGTAAACAGGGTGACGGACCTGAAACTGAAGCTCAAAACGCATCCGCTAAGCCGCTCAACGCCCCGTCTCCTGCGGTGAAAGCGGTAGGACTGAAGCCATAGCCTTCTCAAGCAACGGAAAAAGAGAGTGAAATCGAGAAAAGGTCATCATCTAAAGCATTGGCTCCCCCGATATGAGCAAATATGACACAAAATGACACAAGTACGTAGGTCACCTAGTTACTTCCCCCGACCAACTTTCTCCAGAACCACAACTCACCAGGAGAGTCTTTGGCACTTGACACTGTGTGCGGCACCAAACTTCAACAGGTGGAGAATCCATATAACCCGCAAACAAAGGGGTAGGTGGCCCAACGCCCACTTTGCTTAATGCTCCGCTCGCTGGAGCGTATCTGGTTTGTGCACACGTGTCACATCGGATGTGAAGGGACGATGAAAGGCTGAGTAAGCCTCCGAACCTCAGGGTACCGAGTGAAGGCTCTGCCAATGCGATGAATGTTGGTGCGGTGCATATGTTACATGTTCAGTATCCGAAAGATCCGAAAGTTGCTTTGGATGAATCGTGTGCCCAATCCGGGCATCCATTGTTCACAAGCTACTCAATGTACTACTTAATCATACATATAGTCTTTAATGCTATATAATGGCTATATACAATACTTACAGTAATAATATTTACATACATTTCCAAGTTTCTGAGATATTTCGTGGCTTGATCTACACGGACTGCCGTCCAGCCGTCTGCACTCATCAGACGCCTTGGAGCTGGGCGCAGGCGGCCGCAGGTCGTGCTGCGCTTGGCTGCTGCCAAGGATCATGGCGCCATAGTCCACCTGTGAAGGGCACAACGGAGATGTGGTGCCACGGCGGTCTGAGAACAGGTCTTGGAACCTTCAGAATTGAGGAACAACCATGTTAGGAGAAACGGTCTACCAATGTTTGAGAATACGTCCATCTTACATGGAACAGCATTGTTTGGAGAACGGCGGATGATGGTGGATAGCTTCAGGTCAGTTAGGATTCGGATTTGCAGATGTTGGGCCTTTCTGGAGAGAGAGAGAGAGAGGGAGAGAGTAGGTCCAATATACGTGGGTGGTTGGACATAAGGACATGCTCATATTAGCATCATATGTGCGGCGGCATTTATTGGTACTAAACTCAAATACACTATCTATTATGTGGGGGCCCTATCTCGTTTAGACTACTTAAGTAGGAGGTCATGTCACAGTATCTCGTTCAGACTACTTTAGTAGCAGATCACACTATCTCGTTCAGATTACTTTAGTGTCATCAAGCAAAAGATTTCAAAAGTATCTCGTTTATGTGGGGGCCCTATCTCGTTCACAAGCGAATACTGATGATCGACAAGCAAATAGAGCGTGCAGTAGACTACTTTAGTAAAGCCTAAATAAAAGTGGTTGCTCATATAGCATGATTAGCCATGAAGGGTCGCCTTTGTACTTACGATGAAGTTCACAGGCACGAGTCACTTGACCAACCAACTTGGCCGACCAACTTGACGCCTGGACATGAGTCCTGAGTCCCATTTTAATTTGCTCATGTCACTTTCCCACGTCCTTTGCCCCGAAAAGGATCCAACAGGGTTCATCGGTCTATGAAAAGCAAGGTGTTGCCGCACTGCATTATGTGGAACATGGATGAACATGGAACTCCAAACATCTCTGGACCAAAGGAATGGTGACTCGCGAGTCCCGTGTGTGTGCTGGCGTTCTTGGACTCTTGCACTGAGCAGTGATGTGGAGTGGTTGGTTTCCACGGGTTCTTTTCACAAAGCAGCTTGTCGTTTCCGTGTTATGATCGTCTCTGTTCTGAAAGCTTGCCGGCTGCAAATCCATCCTTACGAAAAGATTGCCGTACTTCAGGACTTTGGTTTCTGTTTCCTCTCCGGCTTCGTTGGCGGCATTCGTCTGACTGGCTTATCCCGTTCGGGTGGTATATGCTCGTGTTTCGGCTGCTTGGGCCATGGTCAATGGGCCTGATTCTTGCAGGTCTCGACCAGAATCTCGGTGTGTTTTGTTCTTCAATCTTTGCTTTACCCCTTCTGGCAGTTGACTCAGTGTACAGGGCGACGGTGAAGTGGACACACTCAATCTTTAGCAGGTAGCGAGCTCGAGAGACAGGACCGTGTGCAGCAAAAGATGCTTTGCAACCCAGCCCGGCCTTCTCAACCATCACATCCTGCTGGTCCTTGGTGTCAGGCATCAAGCTTGGCCATGCTCCAGAAATCCCTTCCAAAGGGAGACCCCATTCCCTGACTCTTTTAAGAATCCTCAGGATCACCATGTGTCAAGTGATCGAGGCCTTTCTGAACGGCTTCTCGGCTTCTCCCTTTGAACATCTGGATCCGTCGTTCTCTCCAAGGCCCAAGCGGGCATGATTCCCATCACCGATCCAATGCAGTCGCCGTGGGTGACGATCAAAAAGTTCCGCCTGCAGTCGCATGGGCCATCCGTTGTATCGCTGGCTCGCCCCAGCCATCCGAGTTTGTGGGTCATCGGATGAGGAGGTGCAATTGGAAGGACAAACAAAAGGGAGATGGAGAGTCTCCCAAATGATTGCTTTTGCATGAAAAAGCACGCATTGATCCCACTTCCGCACTCACCCCTACTTCCACTCATGCCAATCCACCCATTCTCCCCCTCCCCGTCTTGTCATTGTATACCCTTCGAGACCCTCATGCCATCCGCATCCATCAAAAAAAGAACGCCAGACCAATCCTGCCACTCTCCTCCAGATCTTCTCCAAGGGGCTTGGCCGTCACCCCTCGCTGAAGGTATTGCAAGAATCGCAACGCGAATCGACGACGCGCGTCTTGCAGTGTTTCGGGCCAAGCCTCGGCAGGCGCGGAACGCGGCGCAACGCGCGGGGCTGAAGCGCCGAAACGAGCCGGGCTTGGAACACGGGCCGAGCGCGATGCCGGAAAAAATAAGAAGGTGGGTGGTTCGTAAAGCGAGTTCAATGACTCATATTATAAGTTGACTGACTCTCCTGCCAAACGACAAAGCATCAAGTTTCTCGTTGGCCGAACTAAGTGCTTTGTTCAGATGTATTGGGATGTTGTTTGCTAGTGCACCCATTCTAGACTTCACCGAGTGGCCGGTGCTTCGCCGACGACCCGGCGGACCACGTTGATTTGGTTGGCTCGGCAATATTCCGCCTGAGGATACACCGGTCAGGCAGGACGCAGGGCAGTGGTAGTAGTCTCCAATCTGAAAGATGCAAACTGTTTGGCGAAAGTAGAACTAGAAACGAACAATTCGAATCTTATAGATATCAGTTCAACGCATCTTGTGAATATCCGCAGTCATCTTGAGCAAATTCATCGAGAGCCACCTTGATCTATGATGTAGACGCCTCCAAACATCTTGATGATGTTGAAAAAGAAACGTTCATAGTGCTAAGACCAAGTCGACTATATTAAATCTATTCTAAGATTCCAAAGCTGGTATAAAAGTTCACGAACATGAGCATTCTCAGTCTGCTTCTTGGATCGAAATGAATTACCCAACTCCACGAAACGATAAAAACTCCCACATAACCCCAGCTTTAGCTTTAGCGTGTTGAGCAAGGTGTGTAACACTAGTCAGTTTTATTATGTGTTCCACAAACACATCGAACAAATGCCTCTAGGGCTTCACCCAACTCTTCTTTGACGAACTCGTCCTCCATTTCCCGCAACCAGTCATCTGCAACCGTGCCAAGAGGCTGCCACAGAAAAGGCACGCAAGTGTGATCGAGGCTCGGCCTCTGGTCAAAGTCGTCATCGGCTTGGACAAAAGATATTGTTGGTTTGATGTCATTTGATGTCTATTGCCTATGCAAAAGATCTTTTGGGTTGTTTTGGAAGAACATGGAAGAACCATGAAGAACCCTCAGTTCAACCATGCTCAACTCTTGGAAGAAGCAAATGCAAATCAGCAAAAACCAAGTGCTTGGAGTTGGAGGGTCTCCCCATTCCAAACAATCCTATTCAATAGTATTAAATAGAGAAAGAGAGTAGACTTCAAGAGGCCATAGGCCCATGAATTCCAATGATTTCTAACAGTCTGATTTATGATGGGTTTGCCATGGTTTACCCATGCAACTCCACCGGCGGGCGAGGCCTCTCCCATCACTGAAGGGCCATAGACTTCTCCCAAAGAAAGGTCTATGAGCATCTTCACGTTGGGGCCTGTCGCATAGACAGTCGGCAACGATCGATGGTCGAAGCAATCCTGCTTTCTTCAGTGGATGAAGATCTCCATCTCATGAATGTCACTCTCAACATCGGTCTTTGACGTGTTTGCGTTCCACGATGCTCTCTCCAACACGTGTCGCCCAACACGTGGCCTAAACGATTGCAAATCCCCACGGCAGTCTGTACACACCGCGAATAGGGTGAGCAAACGACCACGTGGAACTTGGAGTCCTTCCTGGGCCCCAAGCGGAGATACACGTGTCGAAGTACGTGAAGTGATGCGAGAGTGTGCGAAGGAGTAGGTAGAGGTAGAGTGGTGTCCTGCCTACAACATTCAAGTCTTAGAGGTAGATCGTGTATGATATGGAGTGCCACTATCAGAATTGAGCGTGTGCCCTGGCCCTACTGAACCTGGTACTTCTGGAGAGCTCTGAGTTTCATACCGTTCACCAGTGATGAACACCAATCGAATTCATTGAACATTGAGTTCTATTATAGGCAATGATTCAGTGTACTATGTCTATATTGTGTAAGTCGACAAATCAAAATGTCAGACGTCCCCCGCCCATGGGAGCCGAGTGACTTCTGAGCATAATCATCGATCCAGGCACCTAAACTCTTTGCCTCACAAGGGACGTTTCTTGGAACCCGATGATGCAAGGACATCTTCCTCCGCCAGGATAAGCCTTTATCTATAATCCAAGAATATGTGTACATATAGGTTTTTTTTGTTATATCTTATCATGCCATATCACGCCCATAACTTATGTGTGTCAAATGTATTCAAGTGTCCACCTCTTCCCTACACAAGCACTGGCTCTGACAAAAAGTGTGTTGATTCGAGGATAAAAAACACACACGTTAGCAACCGCTGAGAATCAAAAGCTCGTGGGTAAACACCCTTCGTTCACCCCGGCCCGCCTGTTCCAGGCCTGAATCGCTCAAAGGTGGATCCAAAGGAAACCTGACCAACGAATGATGGGAGATCATGGACTGTATACAGGTCGCGTGTTGGCAAGGCGATCACTACACGATGTCCAAAGCCCGGTTTGTTCTTGGGTGAAGTAAGTGTACCTTGCAAAGCCCTGGAGGAAGTGCAACCCATTGATGAGAATATTTTGAGAATTGCACCTCCACATGCAGTCCTTGCTGGAGTCCCCCTCCGTTCCAGTGTCCTTCCCCATTTCCTCACCATTAGGCCCTACATGTTCTGCCCCACCACCCCCGCACCACTGGCACCCGCCTGCGGCCGTCCTCTGAGCTCGACCACCGGCCACCCTCCCAAAAGGCGAAGACGCCATCCGCGCGCTCGGCGTGGCGAACCACGCCGAAGAGCTGCGTCCTTCGGCGACCCCGAAGAGTTCGGAAGCCGAAGAGGCCAAGAGTCGGGTACGCTAGTAGTAACAAGTGCATCGTTTCTAGTAACAAGTGCCTTACTAATAGTAACAAGAAGCTACTAGGAACAAGTGCATCGCTACTCGGAGCAAGGGCCTTACTAGTAGGACGCTAGTGGGTTCGTGAAGTTGTCTTCCCCGACTCGGGTCTCGGAGGTGTCGTGGGTGTCGGAATGGACATTCGAGCTAACAGCCAACAGCTTCGCAACAACTTTGCAGTCTGTCTGCTAACAGTTCAGACTGATTCTGGGACTCAGACTGAAACCGATTCTGGGCACTTCAAACACTTTCCAGTCCAAATTGCACGTGAGTTGGGAGATGGATCGACCTCCCCAATAACGTAAGAAATATGCGTTTAATTGTTTTTTCCCGAGAGCGCCTGCGAAGGGTTCTTCGTAAAAAAACATCTGCAGACCTCTATTTCACATCGTCTCATCTACATCTTCACATCGTCTCATCTACATCTTCACATCTTCACCTCTGCACATCCACATTCTCACCTGTATCTCTGCTCATCTTCACATACATTCACAACTGTACATCTACATCTCTGCTCACCTTCACATCCTCACATCTACATCTCACATCTTTACCTCTCATCTTTACCTCTCATCTACATCTCACATCTTCACCTCTCGCTCTTCTTAACTTTCTCTCTTACGGCCGGGGGCAGTACCGCCGGAGCACCACGAAACGCAGCCCTCTGCGGAGATCATGCGTGTCGAGCGCGCGAAATGCAGGCGAGAGTGCGATTTGGTTTTGTCGCGGGCAACCCTCTGCGGAGATCGTGCGTGTCGAGTGCGCGAAATGCAGGCGCGAGTGCGATTTGCGTTTGTCCGGCGCAACCCTCTCCGGAGATCGTGCGTGTCGAGTGCGCGAAATGCAGGCGAGAGTGCGATGTGGCCGGGACAACCCTCTGCGGAGATCGTGCGCGTCAAGTGCGCGAAATGCCGAAATGCAGGCGAGAGTGCGATTTGACCCGGTCCGGGAGAACCCTCTGCGGAGATGGTGCGTGTCGAGTGAACGAAATGCAGGCGAGAGCGGTCCGGGAGAACCCTCTGCGGAGATCGTGCGTGTCGAGTGCGCGACATGCAGGCGAGAGTGCGATTTGGATCTGTCCGGCGCAACCCTGTGCGGGACTGTGGACTTTGTAGTACAACTGTAGTACGCGGAGCAATCTGTGGAGCTGGAAGTACAACTTGAGACCGCGGAGTATCTGGGGAGCTGGAAGATGAGAACTGGCGACTTTGTAGTACAA